GGATTGAAGGGTCCGTCCCAGGTTTGATTCCACACATGCCTGAGTTGCAGGTTCAATCCCCAATAGGGGGCGTGCAGGAGACAGCCGATCAATGATTCATCTCTCATCATTGATGGTTCCATCTCTCTCTCCCTCTCCCTTCTTCTCTAAAATCAATAAAAATATATTTTTTAAAAGAAAGAAAGAAAGAAAGAGCCAAGACCGGTTTGGCTCAGTGGATAGAGCGTTGGCTTGGGAACTGAAAAGGGTCCTGGGTTCGATTCCGATCAAGGGCATGTACCTTGGTTGCAGGCATATCCCCAGTAGGGGGTGTGCAAGAGGCAGCTGATCGATGACTCTCTCTCATCAATGTTTCTAACTCTTTCCCTTCTTCTCTGTACAAAATCAATAAAATATATTTTTTTAAAAATTAAAAATAAAAATAAAAATAAAGAAAGAAATGAGATGTGCTGGGAATATAAACTACACACCAGCCTTCTACGACTTGGTAAAAATAAATGAATGAAAAATATATCACGAATTTTATATTGATTACATGTTGAAATAGTATTTAGCCTGTGTTGAGTAATTATTGAAGTTAATGTTTCTTTTTACTTTTGTATGTAACATTTCGACCATTTAAAATTACATTTGTGGCCAAAACCGGTTTGGCTCAGTGGATAGAGCATCAGCCTGTGGACTGAAAGGTCCCAGGTTCGATTCCGGTCAAGAGCATGTGCCTTGGTTGCGGGGCACATCCCCAGTAGGGGGTGTGCAAGAGGCAACTGATCGATGATTCTCATCAATGTTTCTATCACTCTCTCTTCCTCTCTGTAAAAAATCAATAAAATATATATATATATTTTAAAATTACGTCTGTGGTTTGTAGGACAGCACTGCTCTATCACCTCGCCCTCCTTTGCGCGCACCACTGTCCAGGCTCCCACTATGGGGACAGGCAGCATCCACGTGTTACCTGTCCAGCGTCCTTCTCGCCCCACTAGCATGTAAGACACAGGCTGTGCCTGTCTCCTTCCACCGGATCCCCGGGCATTTAGGACACAGTAATACTGAAGCTCAGTAAGGACTTAGTAAATATGTACTTTTTATGAATGACCTTCCTCTTCCTCAGCTGGACACGTGAGCTCTGTCTGTTCTCCCCAGAACACGAGGTCTCCAGTCCTCTGGGCCACACGCGCAGCTCCGCGCTGTCCCCGCGCGCCCGGCACTGGGAGGAGAGGTGCGCCCACCCTCCACGCCTCCTTCCCCGCGGAAAGCACGGGGCGCGCACAGCAAAGGGGGCGCAGAAGGGCCCCTTCCGCCTTGGAGACCCGCCCCCCTGTCAATCACGGCGCGCTTCTCCCTCCAGCCACACGGCGGCGTCTCGCGAGCGCTCGATGGCCGATGGTACAGCCCGCCCCCCCCCGCCCTGCAGACAGTGGATCCTCCCACAGCCCGTTCCCCCCCGCGCCCTGCGGACAGTGGATCCTCCCAGCGGTAGAAAAGCATTGTGGGACGGCAGCACGGCCTTTCCGGTCTCCGCGCTCCAGGAGGTGCTCGGCTAACCGTGCGGCTCCTGCATGGCGGGGCGCGGCGTGTGCGGCCGCTTGGTCGCTGTCGGCCGGGGCGGCATCCGGGACCCTGAGCCCGCTGCCGCCGCGCCCCGGCCGATCCCGCGCCCCGAGTCCGTGGACCGCAGCGCCTGGGCCTGACTCCAGCCACGCTGCACGCGGGACCCCAGGAGGGCCCGGAGCGGACTTGGGTCTGCGTCCCCACGCGGGGAATGGGGAGATGGGTTTGAATGCATTTGAGTTTATTGATCATCGACTGCGTGCCGGGAGTTTTTTTTAATATCAGCGGGGTTTTTGTGTGAAAGGGAATGGCCTCGCGGAAGCTCACCCCTGCCGCGCGTGAGATCCGCCAACGTGCAAGTGCGGGTTAAGGTTCAGGGCTGACCGCCGCGTCCCGGGCAGACCCCGCGGAAGTCGTATGAGAATCGCCGACTTGGCAGGTGAGTTTTCATGTTATTGTAAAAAAAAAAAAAAAAAAAAAAAGGCCCGTTGCGTTGAAGTTCTAAGAGTTTAAAACTCTTAGAACACTTTGTATTTCAGGGCGTTTTGTTGTGTTTTGTTTTTTTTTTTCAATACTCCGTTGTATTTTGAATTGTTAAGAGGATCTAGAGCTGGATTATGAGCAGTTCTTCCCGGCGGGTTCGTTTAGGGGCAGCAACCATGTGCCGTGGACCCAGCCGTCTTTCTGTAGCAACTGTGATAATGTAGCCTTTGTGTTGCCCATTCACTTTTGGAAACTAGTGAATGTGGTGTCAAAAAAGGCACAAACTACACACTTTGCAGCCCTTTTCCTGCCCTTGAACTTGATGTCTTTGGTGGAAGAGCTGTGTAAGTAACAGTTTATACTTTGCACGTTGTTTTGCCAGCACGAAGTGTAGAGTTTCTCATAACCGTTTTTTTTGTTTTGTTTTTACTAATTTTTGTTTAGGGGAAAGATGGACATTTGAAGCATAGACTGCTGCTACCTGAATACCCGGGAGCACAAGTGACCCAAGGTGAGGTGATGTAGAAGTTCTGTAATCTATTAAGATATGCTTTGCTTGTATATGGTAATTATTTGGATTTTCTTAAGTTTTTCAAGATTTGCTTGTTAATATCCACCTATTAAAATAACTCACCAGTGGAGTATTTTGCAGGCAATATAAATACTTCTGATAAAAAGGTTAAAATATTTTTTAAAATAAAAGCAGTTCTTTGTAATGGGAATCTTAGCACCTTTCTATACTGGGGAGTTTTGTGGTTATTAGTATAAATTGGGTATTAATGGCTTATTAGTATTAGTACTGCACATCTGTAATTAACAAGGTGAAGTTAATGGTAAATGGGATAACTGTTTCCAGTTCATTTTTGAAATCTTGGATGTTTTCGTGTAGTAGAATTTATGTACTTCTATTTGTTTCGGAGGGAAACATCAATGATGAGAGAAGATCATTGATTGGCTGCCTCCTGCACATCCCACACTGTGCATGTTCCCTGATCCGGGAATGGAACCATGACACACACACACACACACACCCCAGTTCATGGGATTGAGGCTCAACCACTGAGCCACACCAGCTGGGCAATAGTAGTATCATTAAAAAACCAAACTTGTTAAATGTCAGGTGTGTTTTATGTTGATATTTAAATCTAACTCCAGAAACTCGGTACAGAACCAGGCATTGAGAGTTTGTTAAAGTTCTGATACATGTAAATAACTTGCTTGTAAAATTTGGTTTTGTTTTTCTTTTAGGATGCCCTTGGTGAAGAATTTGAAAACTTGATTTTCACAGGAGTTGCCTAGATCACTTAAAATTTTCAAGAGTGTTGAGGAAGACCAGAACTGTCTCTGGACAGTTCATAAGTACTCATTTAACACAATGGGCCTGTGAATAAATATTTAAGAATGTTTCTTGGGCCGAAACCAGTTTGGCTCAGTGGATAGAGCATCGGCCTGCAGACTGGAAGGTCCCCGGTTCAATTATGGTCAAGAGCCATGTACCTTGCTTGTGGGCACATCCCCGGTAAGGTAAAGGGTGTGCGGGAGGCAGCTGGTCAGTGTTTCTCATCGACATTTCTAACTATCACTCTCTCTCTCTAAAAAATCAATAAAATATATTTTAAAAATAAATGTTTCTTGGAAGTTTGTGTAGTATGACTGCCAGAAAGCAACCTTCTCTCAGGGTTTAGAAGATTCCAAAAGAAGAAAGGAAATGTCACCAGAAATGTAGAACTTCCTTTGTGAGGCAAATCCCATGTAAAGTAGAATTGGATCACGTTCGGGAAACTTAAGAAGGGAGTTGGGACTAAGGGTAGGTGGCAATTTTGCAAGGCCTTGAGCCAGAAAAAGTAGGACCATAAGTATGTATTTGTGAGGGTTATTGCCCCTTTCCCTCTTTAGTTCCCTGATTTAGACAAGGAGTACATAATGAGGTATCTTAGATGTCCATTATGAGAGCTTGGACTATTATAAGTTGAGGTTGAATAGCTAAGCTGCCAGAACCGAATTTGCAAGGATACAAGTGGGCCAATTGGAGTCTACTTTAGATGAGACAATGTGGCAAAAATAGTAAAGGGATAATTGGGCTACAGAGAGCAAAGGTGACAGGACTTGGTAATTAAAGGAGGTGTCCATAAGATTGCTAAGTGTGTAGATAAGCACAGTAATGAAGGCCCTAAATCTAATGGGAGCAGCATTTTAAACCAGTTGGTCTTTAGGAAGAACACTAGCTTGTTTGAGCTCCAGAAATAGTCATGGGCATAAAACTACCTGGGGTAGGGTATAAGGGGTAAGGTAAAATGGCTTGCATTAGTGTTTTTATTTTCATATAAAGTACATTGCTTGGAGAGAGGGGGCGTTGTGAAATAGTCTTTGGGGAGAGTCAGCCAGGCAGAATGGAGGGACCATTTGAGGTTGAGGGTGGTCACGAATAGGCCCACATATCTTTTCCCCCTCCCCTAAAAACAAGACAAGGATATTAGAAGTTAAAAGCAATGCTTTCAAACAAAACTTTGTATTTGTAAATAACCAGTGGAACTTAATGCCACAAAATACAACATTACAAAGAACATTTATATGACTAAAAATATCTACAGTGAAAGTGATGTGGCCTCAGGTATCTGCACAGGTGGAGGTCCACCCCGAGGGGGAGAGCTCTTCATCCCACTTACTATTGCACAGCTGGCCAGCTTCGGTCCAGGAGTCCAGAAACATCTGGTTTGGGTTGATATGGCATGAGTTTTTACAGAACTATCCTTCCAGTTATCACACACACAAAAAAAAAGGCTCTTCAGCACAAATACACTTTAGTTAAGCCTTTTAAAAGGAGCAACAGACTCAAATTATTTTCTTCTGAAGAAACGTGGAGGTCCAAGATACTTGAATAATTACAATTCACAGTTTCAAAGTAAAGGCAGTACACACACCCTTCCCACCCCTCTGAATCTCCCATCCCAAGCCTTTCACTGGGATCAAGTCTCTATCTTGAGGCGTGAAGCTTGGATCGTTTTTATTGTTTTTGCTATGTGTTTTCCAGCCAGGTTGCTTGTAGATGTCTGAGGTTTTTCTTCAATCAGGCTATCTTTAGACCCATTTCTCCTCTGGAAGAAAAATAGTAAGACTCAAGAAAATACAGTCAAGTTAATTAACTCATACATCAGAAATGTTTTCTTGTATTTAAAACCTCTTCCACTCCCCAACAAGTGTTGATCCTAACAGTGCTTTCCAATAAACTTCCTCCAATTAAACCTCCATCTCAGAATCTGTTTCTAGGGAACCTAACCTAAATTAGCACAGGTCTCTTCTGTTCTTCAAGACATTGGCAAAAACGAATCTGAACAAACGAAGGGCAATGCATGATGAGTCAGCTTAAGTCATGGTTCCTAGGCTGTACGTGAACACCAAGAAAATATATACAAAACGGTGTATGTGCTTTATGGGGGAGAGAGAGACAGTAGTTACATTGGCTTCTCAAAGAGATTCACAATCCAAAAGACTGCAAACAATCGGCTGTCACTGATCCATCATAAACATCAACTTTGTTTTTAGAATGGTTGAACCAGATATAAATCCACACAATGATCTTATACACCCTGCATTTTTTTCTATTTTATTAAAATATACACCATGGCCAAAACCGGTTTGGCTCAGTGGTAGAGCGTCAGTCTGCGGACTGAAAGGTCTCAGGTTCAATTCCAGTCAGGGGCATGTACGTTTGTTGCGGGCACATCCCCAGTAGGGGGTGTGCAAGAGGCAGCTGGTCGATATTTCTCTCTCTGACGTTTCTGGCTCTCTATCTCTCTCCCTTCCTCTCTGTAAAAAATCAATAAAATATATTTTAAAAAAATAAAAATAGAATAAAATATACACCATGAAAGGTGGTATCAAACACCTTGCTGAAATGCTTGCTACAGTGCTCCCTTAATATATCTAATTCAGCTGAGTGTTACTATTAGAGTAAATTGATTTTGTTAATGCAGCTAGATTCTGTACTATGTCCTTGAATTCCCCTTTAACCACATTTTTAAAACATTTCCAGAAAAGTAATTTTCTTTGATGGAGAAGACAGAAATAAAACAGGACCTGAATAATTCTCATCTGCCATTAGTTAATAAAACATCTGCCCCCTGCGAGTCTGCTACAGGTTTCTCTGGCTCAAAAATACCTAAAAGTGAAGGCATTGATTTTTCATTCTGGCTCCAAACAATCTTAACAATCCTTGTTATCCTTGGCTTTGCCCCAATCCTCAGGTCATTTTTAGACCTTGCATTATCTCTAACTCTTGCTCCTGAATAACTCTTCCCAGGTTGGGCCTAGTCTCTTGATCATCCACTCCCTCCCCTGCCTCTTTCCATGTTTGTACATGTTCTTTTAAAACACAGACTCTCAAAGTGAAGCTAAAGATTCATTTTCCCACCTTCCAAAAGAAATTTCAGGAAAGGTGTTTCTCAAAACTGCCACCAGTAAAATACCTTAAAACTATTGTCACCAACCTGATGAACTGTGGAGCCCCCAGAACCCTGTGCATCGGAAGAGCGGGTCACGGGAAGTGGAGGTACAAGATCCGTTTTTGAACTGCAGAGAGAGAGTTTTAGAATCAGAGTCTGACAATCACAATTCTAGTTGAAAAAGGGCTACACCGTAGAACACATGTTTTATATATCTTTGTATTCCATCAGAGTGCTTCACGTAGAGAGGTGTTGAATAAATGTTTCTAAATTAAGCTGGACAGGGTAAGTAATTTGCCCCAAATCAAAGCAAATAAATAGAAGAACCAATAATAAAACATAAGTCTCATTCCCATGTGCTATTCTGACATGTATAAACGGCTTTTTGATTTGTCTTTAAAGAAACATTTATTAACCATTTGTACTTTTTAAAATAAACATATGGTATTATTGACAGCCATTATCTACATTTTACAAACAAAACAAAAATGTAAGTAAAACCTGGCCTCTACCTCTATTGGCCTAGCCTATCTCCCAATTTATTAATGTTTATCCAAGTTTTGAGCCTTATATCAGAGTTTATCGGTTAACATTCCTACCCAGCAATACAAAATACATGAATTTCTATGATTATAGTACTTTTACAAATGGATATATAATGATTTTATTAGCATAATCATTCAAAATATAGCACCTATTGTGTTAAGCAAGATAATGGTCACTTTTTTCGCAAGAAAAAAAATAACACAAAGAAATAAACTACTGTAATATGCTATTTGCTGTAGTCAAAGAAAAGACAAAATACCATCAGATCAAAAACAAAACACTTTCTTATGCCAACTTCTCTCAAATATGGCTTCATCATTCACAACAGAATAGCTTATGCATTTTTTTCTAAGTGGTACGAATCAGTACGGTCTAGATCTGCACTGTCCAATAGGGTAGGCACTAGCCAGCCACACGTAGCTATGTACATTAATGAAAATTAATGATTATTCAATGCTTAGCTTCTTGGCCACGTGAGCCACATTTCAAATAGGGGACAGCCACAGATATAGAACATTTCTAGCATCAAAAGAAGCTCTGTTGGACTGTGCTGATGTACTCGGGCTTGCCTGCTTACTTCACTTCCGATAGGACGGACCGCTCTCCATCGGAACACTGGGACCGGCGGTACTGGCGGTAGCTTCGCGGCGAATGAGAATGTCTGATGCGGATCGGATCACCTTGAGTCCTGAACAAGAAATCCAAAAAACATGGCAATAAACACACAAGTCAGAACAGGATAATTCCTTAATAATGACTGGAGAGCTTAAAAAAAAAATCAACCCTTCTGGGTTGGAAAATCCTAAGTGGCTTAAATTTCACAAGTTAACAATAGAAAACTGCTCCCTCAACTATACATGAAAATGAAACTCTTTATAGTATTTGTGTGTATGTGTATATGTGTATATTACTTTTAACCACTAAATTCTAATGAAATTATTCCATACAGTTGAATTCTCTCCAGTAGGTAGTGTGGAAGAAAAAAAAAAAAAAATCTGCAATGCAGACAAAATGATATTCCTACCAGAAAAAGTTGGTCATTGTCTAGCTTCTTAATTAGTCTGTTGTTAAAATTCAAACTTTGGCCCAAAGACAATGGGGTTGAGGGATGGAGGTGGAAGGGAGTGTACCAACCTGCAATTTGACTGGAGTGGGGAGGATACATGCGTTACAAAAGGGAAATAAAGCAGTGAAGTAGGCGACTTTCTCAAACCATTATAGCAGGGCAGAGAACTGAGTACAGAGGTCATCTGCTGCCGCATCCTACACCGGTGCTGATGAGGGAGCCCCTGTGCTTTCACGAGGCACATTCAACCTGCTCGTTCTGTGACAGGGATTGAACTGGGCTTAAATGACAGGGCTTTGTGGTCCACATCGTTCTCTTGGTGTTAAATAACGAATAAAAAGAAACTCTGTTACCAATCAACGAATACCTTAATAAGTGAATTTATATTTTAAAACTAACACCAGTCATCAAAAGTCCCTTTGTACCTACCGCACACAAATAGTCAGTTAATAGGGGATAATTGCCGAAACTGATTTGGCTCAGTGGATAGAGTGTCAGCCTGCGGACTCAAAGGTCCCAGTTTCGATTCTGGTCCGGGGCATGTACCTTGGTTGTGGGCACATCCCCAGTAGGGGGGTGTGCAAGAGGCAGTTGCTGATCGATGATTCTCTCTCATCGATGTTTTTAACTCTCTATCCCTCTCTCTTCCTCTCTGTAAAAAAATCAATAAAAATATATTAATAAAAAAATAGGGGATAATAGTGATTGTACAAAAGGGAAATGAGTAGCTTTATTATTTATTACACCCTTTCTTCCTCTTTCCCTGTGGTTCTTAATTTTAGTTACAATGTAAAGACAAATTTAAGCACTGCACGGAGAGTAAGAATGTCACTTCGAAGAACTAATGAAACTTGTGTGAGAAGACTTCCAGAGACATACTCACTCGACTTTGGTGTACGGGATCTCTTTTAATTGTTCTTCTGACAACCCAGATGGGTCCACAAGTTCCTTCCTAGACGGCAGAGGGCAAGGAAATTCAAGTTGTGAGGACGATGTAAATACCAACAACCTTTCACAACGGTCCCAAAACACAGTGCTAGCAAACCTAATGGGAATATAAGGCAGGACCAATGATATAAAAACTACAGCGTGCTCAAGGAAAAATGGGAGGCAAACCTTTTCTATAGCTCTTCTACTACCTTCCGATTTATCTATAGCCAATGTAGCTGGCTCTCCAGCCACTCTTCATTTCCCTGCAAAATTCTGCCTCTCTTCCCGGTAGCAGGAGTCTTTTTTTTTTTTTTTTTTTCTTCCGGATCTGTTTTCCTTGGTATTTATTTGGTCTGTCTGAGCCCCAGTTACAGGCCAGCCTAAGGGGCCTCAGGAGAAGAGATGTCAAGGCTGCCTGGGCAGGAAGGCACCACCTCTGTGAATTTCATGTTCCACCTAATGACTGTAAGGAAGACTGTCTGACAGGCTTCAGCCCGAGGCTGTCTCTTAGTGTCGGCAACTGCCTTAAAGCTACTTGGGTTTTAAAACAAGGAGCGGGGGAGGGAAACAATACTCACTGAATATGCTTCCATAACTCTTCTTTTGCTTGGACATCAGGGCTTCTCCTATAAATGAGAAAACACCGCTCATTTCTGCAAACGTGCTTCCTCAACCAACCCCACAGCTAACTTGAGCAGAGCTAAAACACCCACAGCTTTCAGACTGGGAAGCTTTATGTGCCAGCTGAGACAAAAAGGGAAGACTGAGCAGGGAGAGCTAATCAAAGACGCCAGAGTCATGTGTCTGCCAGCACCACTGAAGGAAAATCACACTGAAACCAGCCATAACCAGGGCTTCATTTGATGACAGAGCTCGGAACTCCAAGGGCGAACGCACACACCCTCTGGTGGTGATGTTATTATACAATGAAGAAGAATCTGAGGCTTCTATTTCTGTTCCTGTTCCCTCTAGCTGTTTCTTTCCTTTTTCTTTCTTTCTTTTTTAATACTCACTGAAGATCGATTCCAGAGAAACAGGGAGAGAGGCAGCCAGGGAGGGAGGGAAACATCGACATGAGAGAAAAACATCCATTGGTCGCCTCCTACGTGTGCCCCGACTGGGAAGTGAATCAGCCACCCAGGTTCATGCCCTGACAGGGAATCCAACCCAAGACCCTTCGGTACACAGAATGACACGCCAACCAACTGAACCACGCTGACCAGGGCCCCTCTAGCTATTTCTAAGTGACTGCAAGAGAAGAATGCCTGACTGTCAATATGAAAGAATCCCAAGATGATTTGTGATAACCCAGTAAAAACAGCAACCACAAGAGGAAAGGAAACGGCAGACTGTGTGCCACTGAGGCATCTCTCATGTTCTATGAGGTGATGTGTTTGTGGACCACACCGTGGGTCCATAAATGCTGTCGCCCTCAGCGGGCCTTTCCCCATCCCTATGGACAGACCTACAAATCATCTGCAAGAATGACTTGAGTAGAAAGTAGTTACACCACTACCTTTAACTTCCCAGAATGTAAAATTTCAAGTCAGCATTTAGTGTTCACACTCCCAGAATAGCAAGGAATACTACAAATCTATTATCCCTGCAACTGCTTCCATGGAATGTCTCCTTCCTAGTTGGGAAAATGATTACCTGTCATCAGTCCTTTCAAGAGAACGAAGATCTAATATTGGGCCCAAAGAAAGGACCCAAACCCTAACAATTAAAAGGCCTGGAGTTAAGCAAAGCCACTGATACACGCTGCCCTGTGGAATTTTATATTCATAATCTGTATCAGTATTTTGGAGCTCAATTATCACTTTCAACATATAATATTATCATAGCTTTCATTTTTCTCAGTTAATAAGGGCACCACAAGGCATTCTGGTAAGGTTTTCTGAGCCCCCAGAATACAATAAGCTATTTTCTAGCAATTGAATTGATTAAGCCATTTTTACTTTTGTAGAAAAAATAATAATAATTATCTGATTGTAAAGACCTTCCCGTCAACTCAAAAGGAGTTAAAACAAGTACGATTAGGGAGGAAGGGATGGTCTCAGACATTACAACATGATATTAATAGATTTTGTTATAAGAATAAGATTATATGCTTAAAAATATCTAAAGAAATGCTTCCTTGGCAGGAATTCCTGTATGAAATCCACCTTTCCTACATGTGGCTGGCCCGATTCACTAGACAATATTTTAACCCACAAAGGATGCTGCGGGGAGGGGCAAATGTTAAAAAGCACTAACAGTGGGTATTTCTGAGTGTTGGAATTGCAGGAATTTTATTTTCTTATTTATATTCATTTTCTCTGACTTTGTTTTTTAGTCAAGAGAATTTTTTACCTTAATTATCAGAAAAGAAAAAAGGATTTTTTTTCATGTTTAAAAAAAACACACACAAAAAAACAAACTACTATTGCTGCAATTTCCACGGGAAATGCCTTTCATTCCCATCTCCGAAGAATGAGCAGAAATGTTACTAGTATCTTAACCTGAATGAGAATTCAGTCTTTCTAGCCATAAACAATTGGTCATAAATGATTCAGGAATTTAGTCTATATGTTTAAGTTCTATAGCACAATAATAGTTATATGTTTAACTAAACTTAGTACTGAAATGCCTAGCAATTTCAAGGCAGGGAAAAGTTCCAAAGCTAAAAAAAAAAAAAAAAAAAAGGAAAGAAAAGAAAAGAAAATCTTCTAATTTCCTCTAATTTCTAGACCACCTGTGATTTAACAAATGTAAACGTATGCTAATGAGGAATGCATTATTTTTATGCTTGCATCTGCACACATTAATCAACAATTTAAGATGAATTCATGATCAGCAGCTCAACAGCTTTTTGTGCATTTAGATAGTTGGGAAATTTTAAGTCATTTTTCTTAATTGAAAGGCCCTTGATTATACAGATGTTTTGCTTGAACTCTGAAAACACAGTAAGTTCCTGAGGAAATATAACCCTGAGGATACAGCCTATATAAAAAATGTACATGCAATCTCACATTCAATTTTCTTCTAAAGTTTCACTCATCCACACATCCGAGCAATAGCCTAATTTAAGTTAATATTCATTTTTTCAGAGAAATTAGTTGAATGAGACATCATTCAGAAATATTTTCCTTCTTCTAAAACCTAAAATAATAATGCTTCATAATTTACAAAAGACTTAAACCATTGCCTATATAGCCTTCTTCTACATTCCCCGGATACTGAATTATATTATCTTGAGAATATTATAACATATAATAATCTATATTTTGTGTACTATAGTGCACTAAAAATAATAAATATGGCAGCATTTGACTTTTTATTTTTGTGATCACTGCTCAAAAAGGAAGCTTAGAGAAGCAAATATGTTACTAAGAAAACTATAAGTTCACAAAACATTGTTATTTAAAGAATTTAAAGCACTTAATAAATATCTCAGTAATTCCTCATCATATCCCTGAATGGCTAGCATAGTTATGAGCAGATGTCTTAATCTTCCCCTCCTTTCCTCTCCCTGCTCAGAATGAAAGAATGATTGGGAAAGCCACAAAACCAAGCACCCAGCTACGGAAAAGTGCTCAGGAGCCACTCCTAGGGCCTTCACGCTAAATCTTCATCTAAGGCACCAGGCTTCTGTTTTGTGTTTCACTGGGACCATCACTTCATCCTGACAACCTCATCTTCCACATTATCCATTTTTCAATGGAAAACAATAAGGCATTATTGCCACCAGAGGGAGCCTGAGGCTTCTCGCACGCACTAGTTGAACCTAGAAGAGCTGTGTTAGCTGGAATGCCTCTCCCAAATATCCCAATAAGAGAGGTTCATCCATGTTGAAAGTGGTTTCACACAGGTTTTCTAATAATAAATAAACATGAATGTCACATCAATGCAGCTAAAAAATGTATTAGATGGAACTATGCTTCTCAATGTTTTACTAGATAAGATCCAACCATATTCAAGGGTAAATAGTTTTAGGAGAGAAAGGTTTTGTATTTTATATAGCTGTATGTCTCTGGTATTTAATAATGAATACAATCTTCTTGCTTTTCATTGGGGATTAAAAGAAACAGAATGAATAAGTCATATGTGAGTGATGTATCATAACATTCTAAACTCTCAATAAATTCCTCCATATAGGCAATTTATAGACACTACAGTAGGAATATAAGGAGAAAATAGTCCTCTCCTTACCCATGGGGGATATATCTCATGATCCCCAATGGATACCTAAAACTATGGAACCCTATAAATAATGTTTTTCTGCACATACAAATGTATGATAGTTTAATTTATATAAATCAAGCACAGTAAGATATTAGCAATCTACACTAATAAAACAGATAATTGGTAAATGACAATTTTAAGTGTATAATTCAATACCATTAAAACTATTAAATATTTAGAATTAAATTTAACAAAATAAGTGCAATAACTGTATTGAAAACTATGAAACATTGCTAAGAGAAGTTAAAGGCAAATAAGTGGATGGGTAAAACATTAATTTTCTCAAAGCTGATCTATAGATTCAACATAATCCTAATCTACACTCTATTGTCTTTCTCTGGGTGAAAACAAATAGGTTGATTAAAAATTTACACAGAATTGCAAAGGATCTAACATAGCTAAAAGAACCTTGAAAACAGGGACAAAGCTAGAGAATTTACACTACTTGATTCTAGTCTTATTGTAAAGCTAGTCTTATTGTGGTGGCTTAGGGATAGACAAATAGATCAATGAAACAAAATTGGCCCATATATAAACAGCCAAATTGATTTTCAACTAATGCCCTAAGGCATTTCAGTGAATGATACTGAAATAACCTGATAAACACCTTGGGAAAACTTCTAAATATCTACCTCTACCTCATACATACAGAAAATTTAATTCTAGATGAATCATATATATAGATATAAGAACAAAATATATAAAGCTGCTAGGAAAAGATATGAAAATCGTGTGGTATGGGCAAATATTCCTTAAGATGCCAAAAGTCTTAAACTAGAAATTTTAAAAATGACATAGTGATCTTCATCAAAATTTAAAACTTATGCTCATCATTAAAAACGGGATAAAATAAGGTGATGGTATTCAGAAGTACATATTGTTAGCTGCAAAATAGGCCTGGGGATATAAGGTAAAGCATAGGAATACACTTAACAATATTGTAATGACTATAGTACCAGGTGGGCACTTGAATTATCTGAGCAAACTTTGTAACTTATATGACTATCTATCTGTGCTGGACACCTGAAACTAATGCAAAATTGTGTTGAATGGGAAAATAAGTAAATAAATAAGTAATCTGGAAAAAAAAAAAATGAGTACAGTAAAAACAACAACAAAAAGATGAAGAACATGAAAAAGCAAACCACAACCAGAAGAGAGTATTCAGAATAATACATATATCCACAATATATAAAGAACCCTAAAAATAAATTATTAAAAAAAATTGAACACCATAATTAAAAATGGGCAAAAATGTATGGCCCTAGCTGGTTTTGCTCAGTGGTTAGAGAGTCAGCCCGTGGACTGAGGGGTCCAGGTTCTATTCCGGTCAAGGGCATATGTCCGAGTTGCAGGCTCGATCCCCAGTAAAGGGCGTGCAGGAGGCAGCCAGTCAATTATTCTCTTTCATTGATGTTTTTATCTCTCTCTCCTTCTCCCTTCCTCTCTGAAATCAATAAAAATATATTTAAAAATTTATGAATAACCAACAAGCACAGGAAAATATGGTTGACATCATTAGGCATCAGAAAAATGCTAATTAAAACCACAATGTGCCAAAACCAGTTTGGCTCAGTGGATAGAGCGTCGGCCTGCGAACTGAAAGGTTCCAGGTTCAATTCCAGCCAAGGGCATGTACCTTGGTTGCAAGCATATCCCCAGTAGGGGATGTGCAAGAGGCAGCTAATTGATGATTCTCTCTCATCGATGTTTCTAACTCTCTATCCTTCTCTCTTTCTCTCTCTAGAAAATCAATAAAATATATTAATAAAATAAAAAAAAAACACAATGTGATCCCACTTCAAACCTTCTAGACAAGCTACAATTAACAAGACAGAGCAAAACCAGCTATTGGCAAATAGCTCAGAACTGGAACGCTCATACATTGCTAATGGGGGTATAAAATGATACAAACTTTCTGGAAATAATTTTGGTAGTCTCTTATAAAATTAAATATGCAAATATACTCTAACCCAAAAATTCCACTCCCAGATATTTACCCAAGCAGATATTTACCCAAGGTAAAATAAAACACACCCCACAGATACACTTGTAAGGAATGTCTATAGCAACTTTTAACACATTGTCCATAACAGTTTTTAACACAATAGCAAAAACTGGCAACGATCCAAATGTCTATCAAGAGGAGAATGGCTAAACAAATCATGGTACATTCATATAATGGACTAATACTTAAAAATTTTAAATAAGCACTGATGCACACAACATGCAAAAACACTGAGTGAAAAAAGGCAGATTTTAAAAGAGCATATATTGTATAATTACATTTATATGAAGTTCAATAAGAGAGAAACAATTAGTCTATGGTGATAGAAACCAGAACAGCATGGGGACTGACTGGAAGGAACACAAGGGAACTTTTTAATTCTATATTTTGATTGGTAAGATGGATACACTATGTAAGTATTTGTCAAAATTCATTGAATTGTACACTTAAGATGAGAGCATTTCATTGTATGTAAATTTTACCTCAAATTACCTTCAGTTAAAAAAAATGTGCATTCCTTACTCTGAAAAATAAATCTCAGATCACTCCATTAAAATTATTAAATTACCAGGCCCATGTACAAATATTTGCCCAACAATACTACTGGATTAAAATAACTATAAGACTCAACAACCATGAATTGTTCTACTTATCAATTGTATTTATAAATAGATTGTTTATTTATTTAGTATTGCCTTTAGTAATGGATTTTGACTTCCTAAAAATCTATCTAAGGAATTTTTCCTAATTTTATTTTCCTTTTCCCCTTTTTTTTTTTATTACGCAAGATTTACTATTTATATTTAATTGGATTGAGTCCTTTAGAAATGATTAGAAAACTAAACGTTGTTTTAAGATTTAATATAAAGTCACCAAGCTCTGTGTATTATAAGTCCCTCATAGAAAATCCTGCATGGACAGGTTAAAAGCATGGTTACAAAAGATTTACCCAAGACTATACTGAGTCTTGCTCTTGGGTTTCTGTGCTTTTTTGTTAAACTATATTCAGTGACATATATATACTTTATTGATATTTTTTTACAGAGAGTAAGGGAGAGGGATAGAGAGTTAGAAACATCAATGAGCCCTGACTGGTTTGTCTCAGTGGATAGAGAGTCGGCCTGCGGATTGAAGTTCAATTCTGATCAAGAGCATGTAACTAGGTTGTGGGCACATCCCCAGAAGGGGGTGTGCAGGAGGCAGCTGATCGATGTTTCTCTTTCATTGATGTTTCTAGCTCTCTATTCCCCTCTCCCTTCCTCTTTGTAAAAAAATTAATAAAATATATTTTTTAAAAAAAGAAAAGTAACATCCATCAGCTGTCTCCTGCATATCTCCTACTGGGGATGTCCCAGCAACCAAGGTACATGCACTTGACTGGAATCAAACGTGGGACCCTTTACTAGTAGTCCGCAGAACTGTTTAGTTCGCAGGCCAAATCTCTAGCCACTGAGCCAAACTGGTTAGGGCTTCAGTGAGGTCTTGATTCATCCACATCTCTTTTTTAATGGAATTGCAAAGAGATAGTAACCAGGACAAAGGAAGCTTTTTATTAGTTTCTGCTTTAAATTGAACATTTTAATTACTAGGTTTCTGAACAAAAACATTATGGCATAATGAAAAAATCTATAGGAGTGTACAGCAGGTCCTCGAATAACATCCTTTCCTTATAGTGTTGATGAGGTGCTGTAGGAACTTAACTCTTTACATCAATTAGCCTGTGATAAAGCTGACTTTTGGTGAAAGTCACATTGATGATATTAAGTGAAGACCTACTGTAACACTGCTTAGCATTCTTGCAAATTTCCTATTACAAAAGAAACACACATCACTCCTTCTGAGGTATGACAAATAAATAAATATATATTTTGGGTAAAAAGCAAGCATCTAAGACTGAGGAGCATCCCTTGGAGTCACCCTGCGGAGTCTCCCCAGCCTCTGTTGACCTGAGCTGGAATCCTTCTGCTTGGCTCCCTCAGAGCTGACACCCACCTACACAGTCTGTCTCCAAATCCACTCCCCAGCAGCCCTCCACCACCCTGCGACTCTACCTCCTCCTTCCTCTGTGAGCAACACCACACACCAAGTCCTAGGGTCACAAAGGGATTTCGAAAGGTGTGCTTTGGGAAGTAGAGGGGTACTGGAGAGTCTACATCTGGCCAATATGCACCTTAATAACAAATATATAAACTTCACCAGCTCAAAAGAAAATTAATTTGGGGGTCTGGCAATCTCATCATAATGGGGTAATTGTGCTCACACATGGCATTGCCTAGCAACAGAAGGAGCAGGCAAATTCCAGCATTGGGGAGTAATGAATCACTCCCTGACTACTGCTCACAAATGGTAATTTGATGGGAAGATATTCACATCTCGTTCAACCTGGAACAAGACTTGAGAGAATTCTGCAGACTCCAACTGAGAGAAGCAGCAGGTATTTCACCAGCAGACAGGCTCCAGAACAAAGGAGACAGTTCCTGTTTATTCAGTTGAATATATGCTTTTGTTTAGAAACAAAAACACAACTTTGATGGCCTTGTTTTTTTTTAATGATACTTTGGATTGGCTTTGCTCCAACTTCCACAGCTTCAGATGTAGTTAATGAATGTCACAAATATGAGGAGGTCAATATGAAAAATAAACAATGGGATAATCAAAGTTGAACCAAATCACTTCAGAAGGCTTGAAAGAGACAGCCCACTTTGCCCTAGAAGCCACATGCTGCTTCAAGCTCAGCGCTACCTAATCAAGGCATAGAAAGAGTGCACATACGAGCGAGATCTGTGTCTGGATCGCCTGTTGTTGGGGTCCGCCTGGTTTTTTTCCTTTTGTCTCCTTAATACAGCTTCCCACTGAGGCGCTGAATCAACCATATCGTTCTCCTGCCGTATTCTGAAAAGAAAAGACCATTCATCTAAAGTTAATGTCCACACATGTGGTGCTTTGTGTTTTGGTTCATCCTAAACTGACTCGTAAGTGATATTTAGAAATGAGCAAGTTACTTAAAAGTGATTAAGAAAAATGAACTTATTTAAGAAGAAGCAATTTCATTATTATTAACTCTAAGTTAAGAATGTATTGAATGGATTAGAACATAAGTATATATGTATTTATGTATAAATATTATAATATATAATATGTATTTACTTGTATATCTGTATTTACTTATGAATATATTATAATATTTATACATAAATATGTAAGCATGTATTAATTATTTTCAGACTTCTACTTTTGGCTTAAAATTTTCTTAGAGAACGGTATGTCAAGCAAAAACATATTTAAGATTTTTTAAAAATTTACTTTGCAACTAATTCAATATTATATTAGTTTCGGGTGTACAGCAGAGTGGTTAGACATTTATATAACTTATGAAGTGATCCTGCCATAAATCTAGTACCCATCTGACATATAACATATTCAAGTTCTGACTAAAGAGTGGTGTGTGCTATAGAGACAATTTTAAACATGAAAGAAAATCATTTTTTAAAACATGCTATCCAAAGCAGTAATAAATAATTTTATGTTAAAATGCTCTTTTAAAAAAATCATACTAATTGTCAAGGTTTTCATGGTTAATAGTTTCCAGATATAATCTCCATTGTTTAAGACAGAAAACTTTAAGTGCAACGAAGTTAAATGTGGTGGCAGCATGCCTTCGCTGCTGGGCGGGCACAGAGCATTCAGGCCATGGTTGCTCACAGGCCCAAGAGGGGCGAGCACTCAAGTGACCAGGGACCAAGCAGGATGTGTAAATGAGGGACCAGAAAATCCAGAGCAAATCCGAAGCAGGAGAGAACTGGGGAGCACAGGCCCCCGCTATGTGAGATCATAGGACAATGATACCAGATTTTTTATTTTTAAAGAAAGGTAATCCACAAATCTGAATGTTTAAAGTGAATTCTTCCCAGTTTTAGGTAATGGCAAGCAATTCTGTATGTTCAGGTACCACATGGACCTAAAAAACCCATCCATGCATACAATGAAGAAGTTCTGGATGTTCACTATATCACCTTTTTAGCAACAAGGTGAGGTGCTGTAGGAGAGAAGTTAAGTGAGTGCATAATTAAAGCAAGTGCTTAATTAATGTGCAAATACTGTCTGGGATGCACTGCAACGCTGTGAAGCCATGAGTATTCCTTGCAAAAATTAAACACCTGTTATTTGAATATTTAACTTTTAATTTATGTAAATCCTCAGGAAACTGTTCCGGTGTGTTCATTTCACGCACTGAGACTCCCAGGGTGTGGGAGAGAAGCACCAAATTGCAAGGAAAATCATCCCAGTACTGGGACTGGTTGAGCATAAATAAACTTCAGAACCAAAATGAAGTGAACAGGTTAAGTTTGGAGTCATTGCTCTCGCTAAACAGATGTCTTCTGGTTGCCCTGTGACAGCACTAAATATAGTGCTGTGGTGTGGATACATGGATTTGCTTATAAATGCATACCAGTAGATGGATAGTAAATATTCATTTCACATATAACTTAGAGGCAATGTAAGGCAAATTCAAATAAAAACAAAACAAACAACACAGTTCCTTCTGAGGAAGAAACTGTTTAGTGTCTTTAGATTAAGGAGGAACTGTGTTAAGTGAAAAATTATCCGTAACACACTTCAAACCCTTGGACTGTATATATTTCCTTGCTAAAGCTTTCCATTCTAACAGGCTATTTGAAAATTTACAGGATATAGTCATGGTATGTTTCACAGATTCCCTCTCTCCTGGCCTGAACAGAGGAAATTAAAATCCAACATATACTGCGATGGATCTCAACGTTACAAGTATTTGAAGAAAAATAAGAGTAAGTAAACTGCTTGAGGACATAATTATTAACCATTGTTTGAAACACTCCAATTTGAAAATGCTATGTGCTTGTATATATGTGTGTGTGTATGTGTATATACGCATACATACATGTATTTTTCACAGCCAGAACCTACATATCAAACCATTTATGGATTCTGCGACAGTCTGATGGGGGAGCAGAGCTGGACTGAGGGATTCAAAGTTAGATGGAGACAGTCAATGGGGAAACAGCGGCTGGCAAAGAGGTATCTCCTTTCCCCCAGGCACCCACACCTCACAGTGCCCAGGGAAAGACATCAACCCAGGTCTCATAAGCATAACCAACAGATGAAAAACTCTGGAAGGGAGGGCATGTATGGGAGTAGGGGTGGGGTGAGGATTGGTAAGGTATGTACACAGATAATACCTTAATTAAAAAATAAATAAATAAAAATAAAAACCCCTTGTCTCCTAACTCTTAATCCTCTAGAGCTTTCATTCTGAACAATATGGCTGCATAGTCATGGGCAGGACTAAATTTCACAATGTCAGTGTTTGTTTTATTAGGAAATCAGCATCTTTATTTCTGAGAGGTTAAGCCTTATGAGCAAGGCTGAGGCCAGACTTTGGAAAACAGATTTTTCCCAGAGGCTAGACATTTAAAAGGAAGCACAATGAGTGTATGTTCTTTTCTTTCTTTCTTTTTCTTTCTCTCTTCCTTTCTTTCTCCCTTTCTTTCTTTCTTTCTTTCTTTCTTCCTTTTCTTTTCTTTTCTTTCTTTTCTCTCTCCTTCCTTCCTTTTCTTTCTTTTTTTCTTTCTTCCTTCCTCTCTTTCTTTTTCATTTATTTTTTTATTTTATTGTGCATTCTTTATTGTAGAATTTAACTGTCTACCTTCATACTAAGCCTTTACCTTGATGAAGAAAATGAAAGCTCCTGAAACATGAGCCCACAGAGTCCCTGAACCTTGCTACTAATAAGAACTACAGCGGAAGAAATGTCATACTATGGCATGTACCTTTTACTCTTCTAAAAGTCTAACATAAGGGTAGTGAAACCCTGGCAATAAATATTCTTGTGACCCACATGTTTAAAAGACAGATGCCCTCTACTGGCGACACTGCTTCATAAATATTCGAACGCGCTGCATTAAAAATGTAAGGCTCATTGAAGAGTCACAACAGAAGCACATTTTCCTGAGTAATGGTGGCGTGGCTGCCTTAGTCTGTAATGAAGTTTGAAATTACACCCTTACAAAAGGCTTCCAGTTAATGGTGCCTCATTACAAGAATGAAAGTGTCATTTCGCCCATCAATGAACTGTTCCAGAAAATACAGGTGCTGCATGGAAAGGAAAATCTTAGGACTAAAAGCAAGAATACTATACCATCCAGTCCTTAAGAGGCAAAAGTTAACTATCTTGTTTATGCATGAGTGAATAACTAAATATTTAAATGTAAAGGCAGTTCCTATAATGCACTTGTAAGTCTCATCCATCCTTAGGTGTGGGTTACACAAGGGTTGGTTTTGCTCCTTTTGTGTGTGTGTGTGTGTGTGTGTGTGTGTGTGTGTGTGTGTGTGTGAGAGAGAGAGAGAGAGAGAGAGAGAGGGGAAGAAGAGAAAAATATTGATGTGAGAGCAAAAAATGGATGGGCTACCTCCAGCACACCTCCCACCAGGGATTGAGCCCACAATCTGGGCATGGGCCCTGACCAGCAATTGAACTAGCAACCTTTTAGTGCCTGGGACAACCCCCAACCAACTGAGCCACACTAGTCAGGGCTTTCTTGCTATATTTTAATTATGATGTAGGGATTTACATTAAGAAAAAAAGTACATGCCCTGACCGGTTTGGCCCAGTGGATAGAGCATCAGCCTGTGAACTGAAGGGTCCCAGGTTCGATTCCAGTCAAGGGCATGTATCTTGGTGGCAGGCACATCTCCAGTAGGGAGTGTGCAGGAGGCAGCTGATCGATGTTTCTCTCTCATCGATGTTTCTAACTCTCTATCCCTCTCCCTTCTTCTCTGTAAAAAATTAATAAAATATATTTTTTCAAAAAAGAAAAACAGTACCTTTTAAAAAGTCAAATGTGCTCTTACATGGGTCATGAATGTACTAAGAGGAAGGGGTCAATGGGAGAAAAAAAAGTGGGATACCTGTAATATTTTTAACAACAAAAATAAAAAAAAAAATTTTTTTAATGTCAAGGGGGAAAAAAAAGACCATTATAATTTTCACTGGGAAAATACTAAATTTCAAATGTTGCTCTTTCCTTCCTGTATCCTCAGATGCAATAACTCTAAATTTATCATATTATACCTAGTTTCTTATCTAAAACTATACAGAGTTAATAGTTGGGGTAGGGAGCCTTATGACGAGGCTTTTGTTTTTTTAATGTATACAGAAAAAGTTTGCTTCAAAATAGAACAAATTTCAATGATATTTCAGGACAGAAGAATTCTAATATTTTTCCCCCCACGTCTCACCAAATTTCAACACCCTACTCTTCCAGAAATGCATGCAGTTTAGATTATAAGTGTATGTGACACTTAATTAAAGTCTGCAAAAGGTTTGAAGATGAAATGCCATATAATCGTTTGATAGCAAAAATGAAGATAATGACTATTCCTGGTGTCATCTTTTCTGTCTGCCCAATTATAGCTCTGCCTCTTCTGCAGAATTCTTCACATTAAATGAATTCTTATACAAACTCTCATGGGCTTTACTTTGCTCTTCACCTTCACCCGGGTGGTTTTGTTCCTAATAGGACCATCCTTTACACCAGTTCTAATTCACTAATCATTCACTGAAATAAAGACTACATTTAATGCTGAAGCTGAGAAATCTCACAAAGCGAGTGTATAATGAAGCTCCAGGAATATTTGAGCAATACACAGCGCTCTGCCTGGTCCCCGCTCTGCCATTATCTGGGCAAATTGCTTAACTTCTTTGGTCAGGTCTCAGTTTTTCATCTACCTAATTATTGCAAAGATCCTGTGTAGCTTTAAACTCTATTTTTCTCTATTTGTGTTTTATTTCAAACCAATCAGACACATTAAGACAAATCTCTACTCTTCATCTATGGCAGCTTTCCAGACAATTG